GACGTGATTTCGGATTAGATGAAGAACGGCCTCGAAGACGTGCGGGGATACGCGGAACATGGTGACGAAGCGATCGTGAAGAGCGGGATCGCTGGCATAGTCCCAGGCGAGACTGAAGTTTCCCCGTTTGGGTACGAGAACACGTGTATTTAGGTAGCGAGCAGTGAAGATATTATATAAAATCAAACAGTCGGTCTTGACCTGCTCTAGTAGCTGTGGTGCGGATTCGGGAGGTAGCAGGGCCATTCGAAGAGCCATGTAGCTCATATAAGCCTCAAGATATTGCTGGTGCAGGGTCTTGTGCCAAGTCATGGTGGTTTGGTGGTGGTTGCAGCTCGTAGATCTGTTGCAGATGTGCGCGATAACGCGCGGCGCGCGCGACGCGACGCGGCAGCTTAGGTAATGTCACGCTCGTCGCGTTTGCACAACTTGCGCGTTTGCACGGCGTTTTGCACGCCCGCGCAACTCAACTCTGAACGGAGCTATTCTTCAATGTGCGCCATGGCATACGTCTTGTAGCTGAGCTTGTGTTGGGCGTCATAACATTCGATTGGATCCGGTGCAGCTAAGATGGCGCCATGTTCGCTCGACGCGCTGAATGCTACAGAGCCGCCCAAGAAAGGACTGGGAGGATAATCAGTCGGAGAGTGGGTGTATGAATGTGGAAAGCCCACCCGCCCACACCTGCTTTCGCGCCCTTGGCGGAAACGCTACGTGACTTAAAGATGGGTGTTTGATCGAAGATGAGTGAGATGGGTCTTCTGACTAGCGGCTCGAAGTTGTCGGGAAGACTGTCCGCACTGGGCTGTCCGTCGGCGCCTGGTGCAAGGTGTACGTTGAACATGCGTATGAAGTTGCCGTGGATGTCACTAGTGGGGGCGGTCAGCGTCGTATCATGACCGGACGAACACCGGTTGTGAGCCACGTACGAGATGTATCCAACGTCTCCGACTTCGATGGGCCGCAGCGGGCGGCCATCGCTGCCAATGCCGGGTTGCGGGTTCGCGATCGGATGGCCTCTACCGCATGCTTTACTGAGTTCGGCTGAGTAGTCTCTGTGGGGTGTCATGAGCGGGGGTTACACGCCCATGTCAGTCCAGTACAGGGTTATAAGGCACCTCGTGGCCTGTCGAAACTCTGACAGAGCGTATGTGGGCTGCGGATTCTACAACAGCGCAAGAACTCGGGCACAGGTTTGACAGCGACTGCCATTGCCGAAATATGACATTGATACTGGCAATGACGCCGTTGACGATATGCGCCATGGGTCGAAGAGAGAGGGATTCATTCCTTCAAGGTGCACCGTCTTTTGGAAGGCCATTCAGTCAATAGTGGACTATGCCTCGGCATAGAGCTCAACATAGGTCAAACACGCCAAGTTGACGAGGCGCGGCACGAGCATAGCACTGTCGATGACATACGTAGCTGGTACACATATATCAATTCCGGTGAGTGCGGCATGAGCGACTTTCCCATCCTTAGGTCCCTATCGATGCTCGATAGAACACATGCCGACTGTGATAGCCGCTGCAAGATGAAAGCAGTACACTCCGATAGGCGCTGAGTCCTACTACAGAGTTATCGCCTGGTTACGCATCATGGTGGTATAGTGTGCAGTTAAAGAGGTCCATTCAACTGATGAAGGGTCCGTAGAGTTTGCACAGAATTCGGGAAGACGAGGGTCACGTCGTGGTAGTCGTCGTCGTCGAAGCTCAAACGCCCAAGCTTCCGTCGCGCTGCATTGTCACGCGCTTTCTCACGCCGCACTGGCACTGAACCTGAAGTGAAAGATTGTACGTTTCACTGGCACTGGATACAGAGAAGCGACGTTCATGTCATGCTGTTCAAATAGCACAGCACGCGCGTAACCGAAGAAGATCGCTGGCTTACTATCTCGGAGGTAGTTCTGGACCGGCTGGAAGTAGTTATGGACTGTGCGGTTTCCTGAAAGTTAGAGCCGGCGGTAAAATCTGTGAATAATATGATATCGTTGAATGGGTATGAATACCATGTTTTGAGCAGGACAAATATTTCCGGGGCAAACTGGTACTGCTACAGGCGTAACGGTTTTTGTGGCACTTCGTTCGCCAAGATTGGACCGGCTGATGGCGTGCCTGGCGTCAGCAGTGAACCCTCCGTAGTACAAGTACCACTCAACTATATGCACTCGGAGTCAGCTTCAGTGGTCCTTGAGCTATTTCAAGTACGCTCAAAATTTTTGGACCACAGGGGACGACTAGATACTCAGGCCGGAGCAGATGGACCCAAGATGGGTTGAGTTTACACCCCGATCCGCACTTCTACGATTTACACAGCTAGTACCGCTCCGCCGTAGTCCTCTAAATTAATGGAGGGCGTAGTTTCCATACGATACAGTACTGTGTAAAATCTGCAGAGCAGTACGATGCCTGTGTAAAGCGGACGAAAAGGTATAGTTGGCCGGTCCAGAACTACTTCCAAGTCCAGAACTACCTCCGAAATAGTATGAGAACTTGGGTCGGAGCATGAAGCTCGGAGACTCTCGGGACGGGGAGAATCGGTAAAATGTCATGCCTGAGGCACAAGTATCATGAAATCTATGAACATTATGTAGAGGAGAAGAGATAGCGTATATTTGGGTGAGTGGTGCGGTGCAAAACAATCTAAATGATCAAGCGGGGATGGATGGCAGGATGAAGAGGCATCGTCGGAGAACAAGGTGCTCTAGTGAGCGTGCGCCGCCGCCTCTTCTGCTGCAGTCCACTCTTGCCACGCTCGCTTTGCGCGCGCAGAGACGGACCAGGGCGAATCGAGTGCGGGACGTACATCGAGCGAGAAGACGGGTGAGCCATCGGGCAATGGTGGTGCGGAATAGTAGTCGATCACGTAGCGCACGTCTTCCGTCGAGCCTGGTCTGCGAACAATCCAATCATGACGATCGAATGGTGGCTCAGAACTACAGCCTTGTCAGTATCGGGCGTAGAATAAGGGTATGATGCCAAGAAACTGACCTGAAGCGCTCAGGCAATAACCATGCCGCCAGCTGTTGGAACCGTGCCTTCGGCGACAGTTCGCCTGGCCGACCCTTGAACTTCACTAGCTGGAGTCCATTCTTCGGCACGCCATTGTCCTCCTCCCACTTGCACACCTCGTCCCATGCACGCTCATTCAAGAAATTGTGGATCTGAACCATCATCTCGACGTGCTCCTCCGGTGTCTCCATTCCCTTCCGTGCCAATGCGTTGTGGAACTGTTGTGGTGACGGGTACTCCCAGCGCTCGCCGTCGTCGCGCGGAATACTGCTGGTCTCGCGTTCGGTAGGTAGCAGCGACTCCTGCGACGTTGTAGGCATCTGCGACAATGTAGGCATATTGTTGCGCGCGTCGACAGAGTTGTGATCGACTGGGCATTTCGCAGGTGCAGATGCAGCAGCTGGTGGTGTAGGCATAGAGGCGTGGTCGACAGGGCATTTGGCGGGTGCTGGGTTGGCTGGCTTCATAGCGGTATGGTCCACGGGACATTTGGCAGGTGAAGTAGATGACGAAGCAAGCGACGCCGAAGCAGCCTGTGATGATGCAGTTTGTCCCATTGTAGCTACTGAGAAGGTGACAGAAGCTGTGGTCGGTGAAAGAGAAGGAAAGGACTTGGATCCAAACAAATCACAGAGGCTTGCTGACGGAAGTCCGCGTGCTGTATAATGCGATCATCGAGTTCAAAAATGTCAATCAGAGTTGCTCGATGGTCTAACGGCTGCAAACGCCGAAGTCTCGTACTCATGCGGGTTCGAACACGGCGATGGTCTTTCTTTTTGATTTACTTGACTCCCCCCATTCAAGTACAATCGAAAGCTCTTTCGCGTTATTTTTGCCTTGACCTTTCTATCTTTAGTCAAGTAACCTTCAACACTCATATGCATGGTCAGAGAGCGTTGACTCGCAAGCGGAAGATCTTTACCGCGCGTGCTGAGGAAGTGGTGCTCAGCGCTTGACAGCATGGCAAGGTCATCGTCGCTTGTCTCCCGCATTCACCATAGCTGTTTTGGCCTTTGCCTCCCAGCGGCGTTACTGCTGCTTTGTATCGGCGTAACCTGTTTAACATCCATAGGCTGGTCAGTCAGCGTCCCGTGAAGGATCTGCGCGCTCGCTGAGCTCTGCCATCGACGTCATCGCCGCTTGCCATCCGCATACACAATCTCTATCACTCCCCTTGCATACGCTTCGGCCTACATGGGTGACCCGAGGTTATGACGAAGCGTAGGCTGCTTTCACACCGGTCTCTGAAGTAATCGCACCCTCAACGACCAGAAGCTCGTCGCCTCGAACCCTTGAGCTCATCCTCGAGATTACAGCTAGCTTGGATGCCAGCACGATCTCTATCGAGCTTGGGTTCACGTAACCTACCTTCCAGTCCAAGCGCTCTGAGCCCATCGATCATAAAGCATCCCGCACATAAGCTTTCTACCATCCGAACAACGAGAAGGTCCCTTTTCCGCGCAGTGATGTCAACGCAACTTCTCCGTCTTTCAGGCAACTTGTTTGTACGAGCGCCCCTTTTGGCGTACTAGGATTATCCCTGTATGAATTCCTTTGTGCGAATTGTGTACCAGCTGACCTCCACCATTCAGGCGCTCTTCATTTTGGCTTACCTCTCACCGCTCGGAGCATCAGACAGTGCATGTCGCGGATGGACAGCTTGCGCCTCGCGAGACCGCGCGCCGCGGCGTCGAGGCCCCATGGGGTGCATCCTCCCGTTGCGGGGAGGAGAAAAACCTCCAGGATCTGAATTGCGCAGAGTTCGAGGCGTACGGTCCGATCAACTCGTTGAATGGGACGCGGGAAGTGCATATGGCGTGCAGGGACCCCGGGAACCGCTCATGTTCGTTTCCAGTCGGCTTCGCGTACTTGCTTATTTCGGCGCACGAGCGATCTTTCCTGCCTGTAGACGGGCCCATCGCCATCATCTTTCAAGCCTGCGCGTCCCGTGTCAGCTGTTCGCTGCCTATACAGTCTCCCTAATATTTGCCCGAATCATTCGTGGACAACGGCTGAAAAGGGAAATCGCTGAATAGGGGCGTAACTTGGCGAAGGTAAGGTTGGGAACAACGACGGGTGGCTGGAGCTGCCTGTGATGGCACCTGCGTTGGGATCTTTAGATTGCGCGCGTCGCGCATGGACTCCGATGCGCGCTTGCGCGGTGCCAGCGCGGGGGACGGGCAGCGGGATTATACGCGGCAGCCGTACGAGCGCATACGGAAAAGTAAATGCATCAAAATACTCCCCCGCGTCCTCCCCACTTGCCCCAGTGCCCCCCGCGAGCTGTCGGCCCCGGTCTCAGTTGCCCCACGCGTTAGGGTGCGCGGAGAAGTTGAACGTCTCCGGGAGCGGAGACGTCGGGTGGCTATAGTGCCTTAAAGTGGCCTCGTGTTTACGCATCCCGAGCCGTACCATCGCCGACAAGGGACAATGAGAACGGCATGGGTCCGATTATCGGCAGTTGCGTAGGCCGATGTTGCCGGTACGGCTGTAAGAGCATGACGCTCTACCATACCGATTTATTGCACGTTCCAGGGTAAGCTAACGGCCCGCACATACGGATCTCTGCATGTTCCGAATGCTAACTGTCAGTTTAAGGACCGGAAATGCAGAGCACAGCCGTAGGGTCTGCATATGCGGAGCTTACGCTTGGGCTGGACCGATGTAAGCGCCCGCGCACCGAACGAGACGGGGCTCGGTGGTCAATCCCGCCGTCGGTGGCTCGAAAAGAGTGCGCGCCGAGGCGTAGCTCGTCTCATCAACAAAGATATTTTTTCAAGGCACTTCGTTCCTGTACGACATATCTGGATCACGCTCGACCGGTCCTGACTGACCAAGACTGTTTAGGAAAGCCTACGTTTGTCGTGCGCTGTACGCAAATATAGCGCGGTACCGGTGCGCGCATACGGAAGAGGAAGGATCGGGGGCATGTGACCGCGTCGCGCCTGGGTCCGACGCGTTGTGCGTCTCATCCGAGACCAGGCGCGAAGTCTTCCATTCGCCACACGGCGAACACAAGAAGTACGTCCCCGCACTTCTTTGGTGGGCGTCAGCGGGGATGAAGGGAAGTCATGCTCTGCAAAGTGCGGGGAGTCGAACTGGACCTTTGGTGGACCGTATGTCGGCAAGACGGTTATGTTGTTGGAAAACATATGTCATCGGCTTGCGGCGCGCTGCCCCCGCAATGCCCACACCCCGCCGCGCTAGGATATTCGGGACCTGTCTTCGGAAGCACCCTGAACCTCTCCGCACCGTGCAGCTCGGGGTCCTTTCTTCATACCTTCTAGCTCGGTCTCTGGGGCGGCCTCGAGAGCGGAAGCAACAAAATAATCGATCGTCGCGACTGGCCTCCCCCGCACGGATCGTTACATGCGTGCAGGGACAGCTGCGCCGGGAGTGATGCGACGGGCGAGGCACGATTCGGTCCTCGGGGTTGGTGTGCGCCTGTGCGAGTACGAGGACAGCGCACCATGCTTCTACTGCTGGCTGTGGCGTCACAAGATTGCAGGAGATGGGCCAATAAGCGCTGGGAAAGGAAGATGAAATGTATCAGAAGGCGTGCGCGGCTGGATGAGCGGCCAGGGGCGAAAGAGCGGGGCGCGGGAGGCGAGTGCGGTAGCCGCCAAGACCCCGGAACCGCTACGCAGTTGGAGGCCCGCATGCTTCGAGTCTGGTGCCCCGTATATAAACCCCGTGGGGCATTTCTCCAGGTCCTCAACGATTCTGTTCGTTGCAACATCACCTCCCATCTCTCCCGCCTTCGCGCATTAAGCCTACTCCAGTCACAATGGCAGGCGGTGCTGTAGTCTCAGGTGGGGGCATTGGCGAGAACGCCAACAAGTCCAAGTTTGTTGGCATCCTTGTCGTGCGTATCATCTCCCCAGACTTGTCGTCTTTATCCCCCACTGACGAGTCCCCCCAGACGGCCTTCGCCGCATTCGGCGGTATCCTCTATGGATACGACACGGGTACCATCTCTGGTATCATGGCCATGCCCGACTGGCTCAAGACGTTCGGTAGCCCGGTCGCGGTTTCTGATCAATGTTCGTGTTTTGTTCTTGGATACGACGCGTCTCTTTGCTCATGTCCTTCCCCAGACCCGGATGGCTTCGGTGTCACCTCCAGCCAGTCTTCCTTGATTGTCTCCATTCTCTCGGTCGGCACGTTCTTCGGTGCGCTTAGCGGCGCTTATGTCGGTGACTTCATTGGTACGCACATTACCCTATTTGGAAGTGTCTTGATCTAGATTGCTTATGCGTTTCTCTCACGCAGGTCGCAAGTTTGGTATCATCTTCGCCACGCTTATCTTCTCTGCTGGTGTGGCCATGCAGACCGCTGCCACGGCCATCCCGCTCTTCGTCGCCGGTCGTTGCATCGCCGGTCTCGGTGTCGGTCTCATCTCCGTCATGGTCCCCATGTACCAGTCCGAGTGCGCCCCGAAGTGGATTCGTGGTGCCGTCGTCTCTGGCTACCAGTGGGCCATCACCATCGGTCTTCTCCTCGCTGCCGTCATCAACAACGCCACCAAGGACCGCCCGGACCACTCTTCCTACCGTATCCCCATCGCCATCCAGTTCATCTGGGCTTTCGTCCTCGACGCCGGCATGCTCTTCCTCCCCGAGTCGCCCCGTTTCCTCGTCAAGAAGCACAAGGACGTCCAGGCTGCTAAGGCTATGGGCCGCCTCCTCGCTCTTCCTTACGACTCCGCCGAGGTCGAGTTCGAGCTCAACGAGGTCCGCGCTGCTCTCCAGATTGAGGAGGAACTTAACGCCTCGTCGTGGCTCGACTGCTTCAAGGCATCGGACAACAAGATTCGCCTGCGTACCCTCACCGGTATCGCCCTCCAGGCCTTCCAGCAGCTCACCGGTGTCAACTTCATCTTCTACTACGGCACGACCTTCTTCAAGCAGTCTGGTATCAAGGACGCCTTCCTCATCTCCGTCGCCACCAACGTCGTTAACGTGTTCATGACGCTGCCCGGTATGTGGGGTGTCGAGAAGCTCGGTCGCCGTACTCTCCTCCTCGGTGGTGCCGCCGGCATGTGCGTTTGCGAGTTCCTCGTCGCAATCATCGGCGTTACCATCTCGGTCAACGACCAGGCCGGCCAGAAGGCACTCATTGCCCTCACGTGCATCTACATCGCGTTCTTCGCCTCGACCTGGGGTCCCGTCGCATGGGTCGTCATCGGCGAGATCTTCCCCCTCAGCGTTCGCGCCAAGGGTATCGCCATGTCCTCCGCCTCCAACTGGCTCTGGAACTGGGCGATTGCCTACGCGAGTACGTTGATTCTTTTCGCTCATACGTGATCACATTTACTGACGCCGACTTGCAGCGCCCTACCTTGTCGACAGTGGTCCCGGCGACGCCAACCTCGGCGCCAAGGTGTTCTTCATCTGGGGCGGCTGCTGTTTCCTGTGCTTCGCCTTCGCGTTCTTCTTCATCCCCGAGACCAAGGGGCTTTCACTCGAGCAAGTCGACCTCCTCTACATCAACTCGACGCCCCTCACCTCGAACGCATACCGCAACAAGCTCTTCGCGGAGGACACCCACGTCCAGAACGCCGTTCCCCACGAGCACAAGGACCACGATGTTGCGTCCATCGAGAAGGTTTAAACGCCTCTCTCGTCGCATGTGCTTCGGACTGGGTAATTGGACTGAAAAGCTCTGTCGCTGTCGCTGTTTGTCCTAATGCATACCCGTCATGTGTCTTGTCACTTGGTCTCTTGGGCGGTACTTACTGTATCCGCGTGTACTACTAGTCTTTCGTCTTCACATCTACTATTCACGAATGTAATTCATGATGGGTCTCGACCTGCTGAACATCTTTTCGCTGCGTGATCCTCAAGCTGCTTTGAGTCTGCTTCATCGCAGTTGAAATTGAGCGAAGCCGGAAGGGTGCGCCGCCTGATTCATTGATGCGAAGTTGCTTTGGAGGCTGTGCGTATATTTGGCGGCGGCATGTGGCCGTCGGCCGAACGACCACAATATTGACTCTACCCCAGCCAGCTGGCACGCGGCAGCCTTCGTATCGTGCTCGTTGATGGCTAAACTACTGCTTGGTCAAGTTCGAGTTCGATTTGCGCAACGTCCATCGCGAGAGCTCGAGAAGAGCCCGTGAATGGTTGCATGGCGCACTATATATAGAGAAAGCTAGCATGTACATAAGGACATACGTTAGGGATCGTGCTCTCGCCGCCTCTCGCTTCCAACAGTCGCGACAACGAGAAGGGCAAATCGTTCTCACGCACCCATCTCGTGCGCGTTCGCCGGCAACTTTTAGGGCTGCTATTGACCACCATGACCATTCTCAATCACTATGGTATCTTCCCTGCCTGCGTCGCGAGGGTCACAGCTCCTTCTGGGACACACGTCATAGCCACTCTCAATTTGCGCCGGCCGAACTCTGAAGATCTGAAAACTCAGTCAACCGAGCGCCCCGCCAAGCCTTAGAGTGCGTACGTAGACCACCACGACGACTCACAATGGCATATCTGAGCTTCCTCAGTCGCATTTCATAGGCGTGGGTTAACCGCGCGCTGATGGGCAACCGGCTGCTATTCGCGCCGTCAGGACGTATTGAACTCTACATACGCCAATTTCATTTACAGGGGGTCGGACCGTCATGGGTCACTGCACTCCGATAGAACAGGGCGGGTGACATATACTTGTACTTCTCTGACATGCGCAGATGGCGCTTGGCTTTCGCTTATCGTGGTGCAAGCCATGAACGTGATAACGGTGTGCTCGCAGTGGTATCTACGAACTCGACCGTTCAAGATTCGCAACGCGCAGGATTCTTTCCCAGACCCATACGTTCCATCTCTGCATCACCAATCTTGCTTAGCGCGTTTCAGCCACGTCCGTCTCGGACTGTGCGCTCTACGAGAGATTGCGCCTTGAATAATCTAAATGGGCGTCAAATCGACTGCAGATCCTAACTTACGCCCTGTCTGTCAGAACGTGGGTGCGCTCTGGTGCGTCTGCTGGAATCATATATAAGAAGGACCACGGTGCCCGGACCCACACTGTGCCATGGCCGTCGATCCGACATACCCGCTCTACCCCATCGCTTGCCTCCTGGCTTCAGCAATGCTGCTCCTTGTTTTGTTGACAAGCTTGGGCCGTCAGCGTGTGAATCTCGGTGTCGCCTTTCTATGTTTCTGGCTCTTCTTGGAGACCCTAACCCTTGGCATCAACACTATCATTTGGTCTGACAACGCCGACATCAAGCTGTATGTGTATTGCGATATAGGTCAGTACACCAATGACGTGACTGTCCATTCTGTGTATATCCATCTGAACATTGGCCGCAGTCTCGCACGTACAGATGATAACTTCCGTTGTCAAACCTATGGCCACTCTCATCATCACTCGCCGACTGCATCTGATCTCCAACCTGCGTTCCATGCATCCCACGAAAGCGGCAGTGAGTTGCAGTGCACGACCGTCTTTCCTCATTCCGACTTCAGCATCAGAGACGCAGAAACCTTGCAATAGAGTGGGTGCTCGGTTTGGGAATCCCTCTTCTGGTTGCAGGACCTTTCTGAGAGTACGTCCATGTTGCGAATGTCGCCTCGTGCCCTCAGCCCGCTCGAAGATTACGTCGTCCAGGAACTTCGATTTCAGGTCGACGAGGGTTTCGGTTGCACCAACGCCTCCGATAATTCAATACTCAGCATTTTGCTCGTCAGATCGTGGACTGTGGTCATACCTATGGTGTCCATTATCATTTACTCTCGTACGTCAGGCTGATTCTTCATGATCGCTCTTGAATCTCGCAATGCTCATGCGTCGCACGCCAGTTCATGTCACTCGAGTCTTCTATCGTCACAGTCGGGAGATGAACTACTTCTTCCAGGGCAATAACTCAGTAACCCGCACGAGCCACTTCAGGATCCTCACCTTGGCAAGTGTCGATATCCTGCTCACGTTACCTACAGGCATCGTGACGATCGTCTTGATTGTTAAAGACCTTCTATCTGTCGGTCCCTTTCCATTCTACTTCGGCTGGACCGCCGACCACACGGACTGGCAGCCGCAGAGCTTCCTCTATGCAGACACGGTGTCCGTCGGGCCTTTCACCGTAGCAGACTTCTACTTCACTTACTGGACTTCACCTACCCTTGCATTCGTCATATTTGCGCTCTTCGGCATCACATCGGAAGCCCGTGCATCGTACTGGCGCATCATACGCACCGTCGGCGGCTGGCTCGGCTGGAAGCCGACAGCTCGCGCGCATTCGCCGCTGGGAGAAATCGAGTTCAGCGAGCGTCCTGCTCAGGATTCGATATTTCGTCCTGAGTACGCTATCCTGCATTCACACAAGTATATAACTAACGACGACGAGCTAGGTCGAACCCAAGCTACATCAACCCTAATGCCCGCGCGCAAGATCAAGACGGCCACGTAGGAGGTGTCATGGGCGAGGCAGGGATTGTCTCGGAGAGGGATACTATAGGGGAAGTACGCCGGAGTACTGTCGAGGAGGGGTAACTAGTCATTCGACATTGTTCATACTGAGAGTATCGTTAACGCGTTGAGTAGGTACGACGAACGCCCGACGCAGCCTTCCGCGTTTTCACAGGCTGGCTTCTGCAATGCTTCGGCCTAAGCATAGAACGGTGCTGTTGCTCATGGGCCTCTCTGTATTTGCAACTTCTCACTGTGCAAGTTTTCTTGTAGGTCGGTCATCAGGTTTCGACTCCATATGTATTCATACTTTTGATTTGCAAACTGCATGGATCGTGTTCATCGCGTATCCCGGCATGCATGTTGTGGTACCTCGTGGGCGGTAGTTACCGTATGCGCGTGTACTACTAGTCTTTCGTCTTCACACCTACTATTCACGCATGCAATCCACGTTACGTTTCGACCTGCTGAGCATCTTGTCGTTGCATGAACCTCGAGTTTATTCAATCGGGTCTGCCGCCTCATTGGAGTGCGAAAGGTATAGGGGGGACGTCGCTCGTTCCTTAGTTCACACTGTGAAGTACCTCAGACCCAGTCTATTCTGAGCAAAGTACACGAAGGTAAACAGTATAGGAATGAACGACTCAAGAAAAGAGAGAAGGGAGAGGACGCGAGTCCGTCGATCCCGAACGCCGTTCCCACGCCCGGCACATCCCGCGTCTCCGACTGAACCCGCCTTGGTTTATTCAGCGCCTCGTCCTTGGTATCTTGGATGGTGGCTCGATGTGCGCCGTAGTCGTAGGGCCGCCCCGGTAGCGTCCCCTCACAAAAGGACCTTCGCGGGTGATACTGAGCGAAGCTTGCAACGCGTGCGCTGCTTGATCCATCTACGCGAAGTTGCTTTGACAGGAAGGCTGTGCGAATAATCGGCGGCGGCATGTGAGCCGTCGGCTAGACGAACTCAATATTGGCTCTGCCACATTCGCGACAGCCTTCGTATCAGGCCTGCTGATGGACACACGGCGAGATGAACGAGCGGGTACTCCGAGCACGCATCCTCGGGTAGTATACCCGAACACCCGAGCGTTGCCCGAGCGCGCGGCTATATATGCAGACCGCTCTTGATGATCGCTCTCAGCAGCTCTTTGCACGTTCTCCTTCTCCTGGTCGTTCACTCAGTCTTCATGATGCGTTTCTCTATCGTCTTTGCTCTCCTCCCTCTCGTTGCCGCGATCCCTACCAAGCGGGTCGACAACCGCCAGTACATCCATCTCCAGCTTGGCAGCGGTACGTGTTCTCCTTTATACATTGGCGTGCAAGATGCTGACCTCAAGCGTAGACAACGGCCAACAGCTCTGCGCCGGCCTCGCCGACGCGTCTGCTACCTCGTTTTCCGCCGCTACATGTGGCGCTGGCGGCTACGGCGACTCTGACATCACCGAGCTCGTCGTGCTCTACGGCGTCGGCAAGTCGAGCCCGCTCGAGATCACTTCGCACGGTTGCCCAACGTCTACCGGCGCTTCTTTGACCGGCGGCTCCAACGTTCCCGTTGTCGACTGCGACATCGACGACCAGGCACAGTTCTTCACGGTTCAGGAGGACGGGACTGTCACGAACGATGCGACGGGTACTTGCCTTACCCTTGGCAAGGCCGCGCCTGGCGCTCCTGTACGTGCTTCCACAATATCTGCGCCGCGGGAGATGCTCATGTAGATTCGTATAGCTCACTCTCAGCTCTTGCGGCGGCGACTTTGCCGACAAGCAAACCTTCACCTGGAGTAGTGCGGTCTAATGGGCGGATTAGTGAGGCGTTAATTGGATCGTGGATCCGATTCAAGTTGATGGGCAGGGAGGTCTCGCGTCGACACGGATGGATGAAAGAACTCTATTTACCATACGCTAGCTTCCTTACCTAACATCATGATTGCTACTATTGCAAGATTTTACTCCGAGATGGGCAGCTGTATGCGACATGGGTCGCAGAACGTCCGAATACCCCGTTTGCAATTGGGAATCGGACTTTCTCATGTGATCGCGTGATAGACTCGGGTTGTCTCCGGCGAAGGGAGCAACTTGCCTCCTACCTCCTACCATCACGATCAGCGTAGACGAATAGCCTTCAAGTGCTTTTTTGCGTCCTACGAATGGCGTCTACTCGGAGACTCTTCGCAGCAAACGAAGTCGCAGGCGCTACCAACATCCTTCAGATAGGATCGGGTTCATCGAACGACAGTCCCGTCTATCGTCTCCCAGGCGACATTCTCGCCCTAATCTTCGATACATTGGCTTTCCTCGAACCTCCCAGCTTCACAAGTCTAGGATGGGTGAGGCTGTCGCATGTGAGCCGCGAATGGCGAACCCTCATCCTGGACCGACCTCTCTTATGGTCACGAGTTGTGTGCAACTTCAACTCAGAAGTAGCACGGAGTGCAGCACTCGCTCGGTCCCTTGATGTCCCACTCTCGTTATATTTCCTATCTTCCTGGTGGTCACTTCGGACTCCTGATTTTAGAGAGCTCGCCCATCACTTGATGCACAGGGCGCGACTGATATCATCCCCCGATGGTCTCCATCGACACGGAAATTTCAGACTTACTGGTCACTTGTTGCCTCTCCTTGAGGAGTTAGACATTGATGTCTGTAACGACGACGGAAATCCACTTCTTGCGCCTTCTCTATGGCGCCTGAGTATACGGACTATCCCTTGGAACATCACGGCGCCTCATCTGCGTCTCCTGAAGGTCGCACTCAATGATCGGGTTGAGTGCTTCAATCCGTACTTTGCCCAGATTCCCAAACTCCTATCCGCTATTCCTCTGTTGGAGTCTTTCAGCTTCAAGCTGACCGCTCAGTACGGGCTGTATGAGGGAGAAGAAGGTTTTTCGTCGGCAGTTCATGGTGCCCGGCGTAGTATCCAGGGTGTTCTGACTGCCCTCGATCAAGGCAAACCCGCAGTGGATATGCGGCACCTGAAGGTCATGACGATTGAAGCAAACACTCGAGGCTCTTCACAAGGGCAATTCGCAGCTCTCTTGACGACGATGCTCTGGCGCTGTCTTGACGCATCCCATCTCGGAGATATCCGGATCGTGCTCTCTGAACAGTTTCACCCACTGTCAGAACTTCTTGATACGATGCAAAAGCACGTGTCATCTCCGCGCGTCGACGTCCTGACGATCACGTATCAATGGCCCAGTCTGGAGTTCACCCTGACGAACTCGAACCCCGACGAGGCCAGCCATTGTACATTCAGACTTCCTTCATGCGATAGAACTTCCTTCCTGGACGGAATCGTTTACTTCTCTCGCGACGCGTCCCGACAGCTAAAAACGCTGCGCCTCGTCTCATTATCCACCCCAGGACCCGACTTGGGAGGGCAGATTGGATTCAGGCCCCGGAGTGGCGCCTACCCATCCATCGAATCCATTGAGGTTTATGGCCCTGCCTCCTTACTCACCCGCGTCCTCTGGATGTACACCTTCCCGCAATTGCAGACGATCGCGCTACACGCGCCGCAACACGACCATCACGAGCTCGCGGGTTTGGCCGGCGAGCTTCGTGGGCGGCCCGCCAAGCTCAAGCAGTTCACTCTGCGAGGTCACACCGCGTACATCGACGAGACCAAGTTCGCCAGAGAGATCTGGGCCTTGCGGCTTGTCGATCCGGCCGAAGTCGTCATCGACGAGAGAGAAGGGCCTGAAACGGGCTCTTCACACTCGAGAGTGTTCAAGGCCGGCGGGAGTCATGTTAGCTCTACTACAAGAACGCAGAAACCTGGGGCAGCTGGACGTGCCGCCGCTCCCGTGTCGGCTGCTGCACGCAGACGCACGGACTCCATCGTGGGCGAAGTATCAGCGAGAGGCGCGCGTCGGTCTACCGAGAGCAGTACGAATGGTCGCTCGACCTGGCGATAGGACTGTAGGCCACTCATCGCTGCGTCGAAGTCGGTTGTAGTAGTCTGTGAAGAGGGAAGGGCGCGCGAGAGCCTCGCATTCTAGTCAGGCAGTACAGTCATTCGTATATCATCGCTGTCGGGGATATCAAGAAGACTACACATTGGGTAGACACGTCAAATCGATGAGCGAACTTGATGCGAATAGATCTGAAAGTCGTGTGATCGCGTCGCGACGGCAAAGACCGGGCCACACAAGAAACTGATCAACGACCTGAAGACACTTATGACCTTTAAATGTATATAGGGCTCAGTCTCAATGCCGTATGGGCTCTATGAAGTAATATATACGGCGTGTAAACTTGAAGACCCGTAATCCGGTAAGTGGTTCAAACCGTTGTTCGAGCCCTAGCCCTCGAGCGCCACTTGCCTTTGACTCCCTTCGTACCGTTCTTCCTCTATGTCAAACTGAACCAAAGAGATCATTTGACCATTACTTTGCCTGTACCTCCTGTCGACTGTCCCGCGATGGCACCCTGCGGGCTTCAGCAACGCGGTCGTCACTATCATTGCGGTCACTGCCTCAATCTGCGCACGCATCCACCGTGTCCTCACACCGGCATCTATAGCCCAAGGCGATGACGATACGCTCACAAGTCTCAAGCTCGAAGCATGGGTTATTGAGAAACACGCATATATTGTTGAGCGGGGCGAGATACATATCGGGGTACAAGCGGGTGAGCTGTTCTGTGTACAGGCTCTTCATTCACGATGATGATGACATGTAGTCTATAGGAGCACAAGAAACTTTCATACCATATACCTCGCCGTCTAGGCGGCGAGGCGGGATTGGCCGGCCTGCGACGATGCCGACTCCGGGGCGTCACCCTCCTTCTCCTTCTTCCTCTTCCCCTCCTCCTTCTTCGCCTTCGCCTTCGCCTTCCTCTCCTTCGCAAGACGCAAGCACCATTTGAGATGATTCTTGAGAGCGTCTTTACGCGACAACTCTTGTCCACAGATGGGACAGTCGACCTTCAAAATGTCTTCCTCGCTGTGGAACTTGATGATATGGCGAGCGAGTGTCTGACCCGACGCAAAAACAGGCCGGTCGTTCCAGGACCTCTTCGTCGGCCTCTCTGGCACGCAGTTAGGCCACGGGCACAAGGTTTTCGGCGGTGGCCCATCGTCGTCGGAGCTGGTTGCCGGTGCCGAGGACGAAGAAGAGGCGCGGTTCGTTGCGGCCGGCGCTGCACTGGTGAGCCGCGATGCTACTCCGCCTGTGTGACCCTCGTGGGTATTTCCCACGAGGGTGGCGCCGGTTGATCTGGTGTTGCTGCCATTCAGGTCTGCGCTAGGAGCAGCAGCCTGAGGCTTGTACGCGGTGTACGGCGCGGGGCGCACGTTCACCGAAATGTGGTTGTGGTTGCGGCGGGGCACTGATGAAAAAGATCAGCGTGGTCTCGGCCACCCGAACACTAAGAAACTCACCTTTGGCCGCGCGCACGACGGTTTGGAAGTTGGTCGCAGGAACGACCGGAGGAGTAGCCGCGGAAACCGGAGCGCCGTCGTTGCTGGTGTCCATCGGCATATCGTACGTGTCAATATACTCTGGTGTCATGAACCCGCTCAGCGGAGAGGTGTTGAGAGATTCCACCGGAGACATGATGGACGACGGCGGTGAGGACGCAGCAAGGGACGGGGTCCCGGCGGAGGTCGTCGTTGGCGTTGGTGAAGTCGATGTAGACGAGTTGCGATGGACGCAGGGCGCCGCGCGACGGTGCACCGGGCGCGACATGATGCTGCTTGGGTTCACAGAGCACGCAGAATGGAGGACTGCTGCCACAGCTCTCGCCGCCTCCGCAGAAGACGGTTCGCGTTGCTTCACAGGGTACACGGCCGGTACCAGCATCTACTCGACGACGTCAGAAATCGGGCTGGTGACACATGTTATGGCGTACGCACCTGAAAGAAGCTGTCCGTGCTTGGGTGGGTTATCTCGCCGAGCCCCGCACTCATAAACTCCCCAATGTCTCGCTGTCATATTGGATGAGGAACCAGATTATGTATCGTATGAAATGTACACACCAAGTTCTTCGCCGCGAGCGCATAGAGCTCAGACTCAGAGAAACTTGCGCCTGGCGTGTCGTCTACGACAGGCTGCCAGTCCAAGCCGGAACCCAGAAAGTTACAACCGTACTCCATGTCGTCGCGCGTGTCGAGATGGTCGTCGATGATAATGGAGGATAGTCGGGGGAGAGTGCGAAGGGGTGGGAGGGAGCGAGGATGAGAATTTCGAACCTGTAATCTCGACAATATATACCCTATACTCCTGGACCACGCGTGGCATGTCCCACAGGGCCTTTGACATTTACGCCCCTTCATCCCCTTCACGTTGCTGAAGGTGAAGGGGAGATCACAGCATTAAACTTTGCTTCTTCCTGTGGTCCCGTCCAGCTTCGATCCCCTTCACGAGCGGAATTAATTGTTCGCTTACGCGTTCTGCGAGTCCGGCGCATAGATTACGTCGGAGAAAAGACTGTCCGTTCTTTCTGGAGATAAAAATATCCAGAGCATACGCTTCCGCATGCATGCTCGACTAGTGTCGGTCTGTCGAGTATACACGTCGAGGATATGGAATAGACGATGGTGGTATATAACTGCTACACCTCCATTGGTTGACACGACGCAGTACATTGGTGAGTAGAGATGATGCTATTAAGCAATTTACTTCTCAGTCGAGCATCATGCATTCAGCGGTCAAGCGTCGACTGTTCGACCCGATACAGTCGGCACGCTCGAGGAACGCGTCGGGGATTGATCGTGCGCGCGAATAAAGCACGTGAACGCGTTTCGTCCAACCGGCAGATGCCGTCCACGCAGCCACCACATTCGGTTCACGGTTGCCATCGTAGATTCGGGCTCCGATACTTCACTTTCCGTTTGGGAACGCGAGACCTTGCACTACGAGAAGATATGCAACTATTCCCGCTACGCTAGTAGTGGGTCTTGGTGGCACGAACTCAACATCTGAAATGGCTGGCGTTTTAGAGCCCCTGTAAATTGTGCCTGATGTCGTAAGGCCGTCGGGTGCTCCGGCGGCTTCTAAGGTTAGGGTTGAGTTGTAGTGAAGTGTGCCTCTGACAGTTGCCACTCCCACGAGGCAGTGGCTCAGTCTTGTCTCTGACTAATTACTACATGGCTAATGCCGTCGACGTGCACCGTTGCACCATCTTTACCTATGCACTATCGCTGGGCGACTGCTGGAGGGCTGCCGATGTGCGAACAACGTCGATCTTGACAAGGCAAGCACGCCTGGAGCTTGAAGCCGCGTCTGAATGCACACTTGTGTAACAGCTCACGAGCTCTCCGTTTATGGCAGAGATGGAACTGGGCGCATGATGAGACAGTGGGCTATCGAGGGAGTCGGTCTGAGAGGGAGAGGAGGGAGGGAGAAATATAGAGAGAAGGAAGGCGATCAACTCAGAAGAAGAGATCAGGAAAGGTTAGACGAAACGAACGAAGGAATTGCAGAGGCTGAACGGATGTGTGCGGGCCGAGGCTAGGGTACCGAGCGTTATACACGCGTCACGAGTAGAGTAACTGTAGCATTGGGCGGTATTCAAGAACAGGCCCTCCGAGGCTGTGTTGCGCCGTGAGCTCGACATGCAACCATAGCTCCGCATAACACGACCGATGGAAGCAGAAACGAGTTGTATTGATGGTATGCGGTGGCTCTACGGGCTCTCGTTGAGGTCTCTAAGCTGTGTTATGGGGGGATCGCTGCGCGATGAGGGCTATGAACTTCGGGAGTCAAGCTGCGAAGGCGCAGCCCGCTGCCCCGACACAAGAAGACGAACCGCGAAGCAAGCGACGCGTCAATCGGACTGAAAGGTTGCTAAGATATTGCAGGGTCTGGATCGTCGAAATCGTTTCTTGTGCATTCAGCAGGAAAAGAAATGGTTGTATTGGTGGTGGTGGTCGGGGCCTAAGGTGGTTACATGTAGCTGCGACGCGCGAGGAAGCTTGCTGCGTCGTCGGGAGACCCGGGCGAACACGCCGATTCGCCGAACAAACCCGAACCGTAACTAGTAAAGTACCCAGACCGTACACAAGCCGGAGGCTCGATAGCGTTTTCGAGTCACAATTGGGCGGATGGTCCATACGATACCTCCGTGTTTGTAGTGCCAGGGGTACAAGGTGAAGTATGTACGCAGTAGGAGGGCCCGTCGTCGGGCGGCCTGTCGAGACTGAAAAACACGGAATTGCACCTCAAGGCCTAGGCCTCATCACGCGTCGCATGCATACTACTTCGAGCTCGCAGACCGTAGCGGGTCTTGCCGCGTGCGGCCCTATGGCAGTTATGGGATACAGAGGTGTAAACAAAGCATGGACGAAAGCTGTGACAGACAAAGCGGAAAATCATGCAGGAGTACCAATTGCCGAAGCACCGAAATCGAGTTTCCTGGCGATATTCCGCGAGGCAGCAAGCTCGTCGGCCTCGCTCAACTTCCGTTTTGGCGGTCGCGCTTTGACGCCAGGCCCTTTCCCATCAGGTTCGACGTTGCCACCGTCGGCCTCGTCGAGCGCGCGTTGTGCTGCGGCGAGTTGTGCGCTGGTCTTGGGAAGTTTACTCGGGTGTGTTGGGTAAGGTAGTGCGAAGAAGTAGGGGTGGCTGAGGGCATCCTTTGCGGATATGCGACGACGGGGCTCGTATGTGAGGCAACGAGCCAGAAGTTTGAGCGCGTCGGCTGACGCGGCTGTGAAGAGATCTCGCATCGGCGTTTTGGGGAAATGGCCGACTGGGACGTAGTCAGGTAGTTTCGTATGACCCTGTTAGAGCGTCAGGTCATCGAGTTGGGGCAGGGATGTGGTAGTATACACACCGGCCAGTCTTCCTCAGTTGGTGTCCCCAACGCCCGGAAGATCGTCTTCAGCTGGTCCATGTCGCTTTCGCCGGGAAGATATGGAATGCGTAACATGAGCTCAGCGAAGATGCAGCCCATAGACCAGATGTCTACGTCGCTGCTATAGTAGCGGCTGCCGAATAGCAGCTCTGGCGGGCGGTACCACCTGTGTACGTGCGTTAGGGAGGGTATAGAACTCAAGAACTGAGAGCGGCCCATACCGGGTGATGACTTGGCATGTCATCTTGTATCCGGGGTCAGCAAAGTCGCGCGCGAGACCGAAATCGGCTACTTTCAGTTGTCCGTCGGAGCCAAGTAACAAGTTATTGGGTTTCAAGTCCTGGTACACGAGTCATAAGTGAGTTCCACGCCAACTGAAGTGAAAAGGATTGGCTTACGCGATGCAAGATGAAGTTGCGGTGGCAGAATTCAAGACCTTTGAATGCCATAGCCATCCAGCTCTTGATATCCGCGGGCAAGAACACGAGCGAGCGGTCTCGGATGATCATTTCCAAGTCCGAGTCCAAGAACTCAAGCACTAAATTCAAGTTCTTCTTCGAAGAGAAGACGTCCAGTAGCTGCACGAGCCTTTCAGCATGCATGCCGCGCAAAACGCCACTCGGCACACGGGGACATACGTTGATGATATTGGGGTGGTTCATCTCCCTCAGGTACTTGACCTCGCGTATAGCCGACATGTCGAGACCATCCTTGAACGCTCCTACTTTGATCTTCTTGATAGCGACCTTCCTCCCCGTTGCCGCCTCGCGTCCTGTTGGCTGTGTCAATCGAAGTCGCGCCAACTGGAGCTTTATGTACGCACCTTGGTATACCACGGCGAACATACCCTCTCCGACCTTCTTGTCTTTGATCCTATACAAGCAAGTCCATTAGCTGATACAGTACTACACAGAAACGGCGGCACCCACCATCGCTTTTGCCTCTCAAGATTGGCTTTCTCGACAGCGTCCATGGCGCCACAAGTGATAGTACGCGGTGTTCAAGCTCGTTGTGAGACCAGTGTCGCGACAAAGCCAGCGTGAGGAGTACGACAGTCAACTAAGACCTCGTATGGAGTGATGAAGTGATTATTACGCGTGGAAACGCGTGCGTGGTGGTGGCGGGAGGC